ATATATAGTATATATTAGTAATTCAAGATTGAATTATTAAAAAGCAACGGAGATCCAGCTCCGACCGTAATAGGCAGTTAAATTTCTAGTATTATTAATTGAATTTGTCAAATATACGGTCAAAAAATTTAAATATATTATTTTTATTTATTTGTTTTTCTTTGGATTTTATCTTTTTTTTCCAGAAAATGCAATAAACTCAGTGTTTTATACTGGTCAAGGCAGTTATATCCTTATTTAATTAATTGACTATTAGTTACTATCACACAATTGGCTATAGATATTAAAAATAAAGTCAATCACTACAAAAAACGAGATGATCGCATTAATTACGATTATATTCCGCGTAGCTTAGGATATCTAATAATAGAACTTGATAAAGGGACCATTCAGTTGCTTAAACAATGCGCGATACGGCATCGCCTGGGGTGCGTTAGGCGCGGCAGAAGCTTGCCTGAACATTGCTAGATCTTACACTTTGGAGAGGAAACAATTTAAAAGACCGCTGGCGGCGAATCAGCTTGTACAGAAAAAACTGGCGGACATGATGTGCGACGTCGCGATCGGTCTTCAAGCTTGCTTACGAGTCGGCAGACTGAAGGATGAGAATAGGTAAAATACACTTAAAAAAAGCGAAGCAAGGAAAGTCTAATCTGAATAACTAACGTAATATATTACCAGGAAATATTTTACCTTCTAGGAAAACCGATAATTTTTAATGTTTCCAGATTAATCATTCTTTTCTTGCGGAGTTATTATATAATGTCTATGATTTATAACAATAAAAAGATTCATAGAAATCTTAAATATTATAAAATTTCAAATAATATTGTAAAGGACATATAAGAGTCAAATAAAACGTTAAAAATATATATATGTCACAGAATTAAATAAAATAAAAATTTAATTGAACGTTAGTAGCTTCATTACATGTTTCGGCTTTATATCGAGCCATCTTCAGATGTTCCAACGTAGTTAACATTTCCGCAAGATATGCATTAATATTCGGTATAATTACAAATATATCTATGATCGACCTTGAATGATATAGATGAGTGTCTTCCAAGATACAAAATTTTTCTCTCAAACGATTTACTGACTGTATGTTCAAAATTTCTAGATATTACATACATAACAGAATATTTATTAATTTCTTATTTATGAGAAAGAATGAAAGAAATCATTTCTTTTCCACACTCACCGAACACTCGAGTATCTCATTGTATTAGTCGATCCTTGTCAATAAATATAAAAAAATATATAAAAAATCGCAGATAACTTTTTGCCAATTATACACAATTCTCAATTAAATTATAAGACAATACAACAAGTAAAAAGCATAAAATAGTATTATTCCCAGACAAATGAGTTGAAAAAGAATTGTTAAAAAATTTTTTCCTTCCTTGTTATAAAAAACTCTTATGAGACAAGTTGTCACAACGACTTCTCGCCACGTACTAATTTTATTTAATTGTATGACATACATATATATATTTTTTTTACGTTTTATTTGTCTCTAATATGTCCTTTACAACATTATTTGAAATTCTCTGATTTATAATATATAATATATGTAATATTGTTCTCTTATTTCAAAAGTGATACATCTAAAAAAATTAAGGGAAAAACTATTTTTCAACTTAACAGAAAATTATTGTTTAATCAAATAATGTTGGCAAAAGGAATATACTGTTAGAAACATGAAATATTATTTTTATCATTTTCGGTTTAAAATATTTTAAAAAAGAATCTTTTTTTGAGTGAATTTTGATATTTAATAAAATTATAATACAAATCCGGAATAATTCATCAAAAATGATACAGCTCGAAATATTCCCGACAGTTTATATTTACTTTTTGATCAGCTAAAACGATTAAATTTAGAACAAAACAATTTCTTCAAATTTCAATCATCAAAACTGACTTGAATCTAAATATTCTCTGAAGAAGATTTTCCTTTTTATTTATAAAAACGACACAATTTAAAATGTGTTGTGCCTCAATTTTTTTGTCTGTACGATCATTTTAACCTTTGAGTAGTGGGTATGTGGGTTGATCAAAGCTCTTCAAAAAGACAGGCTTTCTTAACATTCCAGAGATGACATTGTCAACAAAAAATAATTTTTTTACTGATTTTATTTAAAAAAGTCTTGCAAGTTAATAATCGATTGAGATGTATATATATATTTTTTTTTATCGATATATATAGCCTTTCAGGCGATTAGAAGTACTATATATTTCAATATTTACATGCATTTCCACCTTTATTAAGCTTACAAATTGAAAGTAAAATCAAATTGGAAATATTTAATACTTTCTTTGTACTTATTTGTGCATCTCCATCTTTAATTTTTAAGTGTAACTGCACAAATTTCGAGTTCATCCCGAATTTAATTTTAAAATAAATATCACAAATGTGCAACAAAAGAATTAAAAACCTTAGAGGGTTACAAATTTTATTTGGAAAAAAATAAGAAATAAAAAACCCAAATACCCACAAATTTTAAAATTCATTATTTTTACATTCCTCTATCTTGCACAAAGATATAACAAATGTAAATTTAACTGTAACTTAATATACTTATAAAAAATATAATTATAAAAATAAAATTTTTTGGAGTTTCTAAGCGTCCCATCTACCAACTTAGTTAAAAAAAATAACCTCCCTACTTATAAAGATTAATTATTCTTTAAAAATGTGTACAAAATTTCTTTTGTACATTTTGAATATTTGTTACTTATTATTGATGTATACTGATATATTGTTATTTATAGAGAATTGCTAGTAAACGGAATGCGCCGATAAAGGAAACAATAAAGCTATCACCTTTTATTTATGTATCTATTAATTCACATTCTTATAACTAAACATCGTACGAAATATCAATAGCATTTGAGTACATATATGTGTTACAAAATAATGGTTTTCTGTTTGAGTAGTTAAGATAACGTTAATTAAATATATGCTTTGACGTAATAAACAATAAGTCTACTAATCACACGGCTTTGAAGCTGATGTCCAATCATGAGGAACCTTTTCTCACTAATATTTCCTCGCTCAATTATGCTACTGTATATATATATATATCTCAATCAATTTCACTCTCATGTCACAAACTAATGTATGAATTAACCAATTATATTAGATAAATTATATGGACTCATTGACACATTCTATAACTTTTATGAGAGCGAAGACAAAGAGACTTATTCGATATCTGATTATTATGATACTTATCGCACGAGGATCGACCTCGCAGTGTACATGTAGGTATGTAAGCGCACGCATTGCTATCAATGTAATGGCTTCATATGATGTTGCCAGCAGCGGATGATGATGGCAGCGTACAGGCCTTTAGACTCCGTGATGAAGAAATTCGTCCTTCTAATTTCCTCGATACCATCTAGCGGGAGAGGGAAAATGGCGACTCCGTCGTTTGGTCGTCACAAACTATTGTAACGTTCCAGGTAATCTATAGTAACGTTCTGGATAAGAAAAGAAAGATGACGCAACTTCTAGAGGTACTCACACGACTATCTAGCGTGTTTCTCCGCCCTATCGTAGGGCTTCGCGGGTCTCTGTATACCCACTCGCTGGGTATATGAGATTAATCTCAGCGGTTTTCTCTGTATACCCACTCGCTGGGTATATGAGATTAATCTCAGCGTTTTTCTCTGTATACACACTCGCTGGGTATATGAGATTAATCTCAGCGGTTTTCTCTGTATACCCAGTCGCTGGGTAGCAACGAGGTTAATCTCACACGACTTTGAAGCGTGTGTCTCCGCCCTATCGTAGGGCTTCGCAACTTTCTTTCCACCCTATCGTAGGGCTTCGCAATGTGTGTCGAACACACAATTAATATTACGATAATAAAGCGATCAATAGTTCACAGCACGTCTCGAATTTAGCGGACACTTCGTACGTACGATGTTCTCGCAACAAGCTTACCGTAATAATAATGGCCGCTCACCGATCACTTCCGTGAGGGAAGACAGCAGCGCCCGGAAACCGGGCGAGTTGCGCTACTAGATTAGAGACCCTATAATAAGAGTCTGGTCACGACTCGGTTTCGTCAAAATCCCGCGAGAGAGAAAGAGATAGTGTCTCTCTCTCTAGCTCAGTCTTGACGCGTCTCTAACCTAACTTTACACCTTTGCGTTGACGAGGTGGACGGAATCAGACGGAATTACCCTGGTAGCAAGCTGACGTCAAAATGACGTCATTTGACGTCAAAAAGACGTCATTTAACGTCAAAATGACGTCAAAATGACGTAGCTTGCTACCTGGGTAAGCACGTGTGTTCAAAATTATTAAAAAATGGTTGGTTGTGCAGCTCCGTTTTGTAATAATTCCTCCACTAAAGGTTATACCATGAAAGTATTTCCCAGAAATGCTGAACGTCGTGCCTTATGGGCAAAACATGTGGGACAAATGAATTCGACGCCAACGAACAATTCATATCTCTGCGAGGTAAAGTAATACTTGATTTTGTTAAATTTATTATAAAAAAATTAATAAAAAATATATAATATATATAATCGTTACATCATGAATTATGTGCATATCTGAAATATTAAATTTAGCAATGACAAAAATATTAAATTATTTTAATAACTTTTGCTTAAAAGTCTTATCTATTTTTTATATAATAATCATAATTGTTTAATAAAGTAATCTTTTTCTTCTTACACATATAGGTACATTTTGCTCCAGAGATGTGGGACGAAAAAGCTAAAAAACGAAAATTGAAACCAGATGCAGTTCCAACCATATTTGGATTTTTTCTAAAAAAGAAAAAGCCAGTGGAAACTGAAAATAATACAACACAAGTAGTAACAGATACAATAAATAATAATACAAATTATAATGAATCAGATCATTGTATCGATTCTATTCAATTGGATCAACGTATTAGTGAAATTCAAGAGCAGGAATGTCAGGTTAATATTAAAATAGTAAACTAAGAAGATAATATATGTATTTAAACATGTTTAATATTCAAAAATGAATTTTTTAGGTAATTAATGATGCCACTGGATCTAATGAAAAAGAAGAACAACGAAATAAGAAATTAGAAGAGATTATTCGAAAACAACAACTAAACATAATTCGAATGCGAAAAACAATGAAAAGTTTGAGATTTACTATACATACATTGAAACATAAAGACAATAATGATAAATATTTCAAAATTTAATTTTTCTTTTTCTTACTCCTTTTCCCTATATATTTGAAGTTTCAAAATAATTTTGATAAAGAAAATATATTAAATACCATTAATTTTTGTGATATACATTATTCAGAGATATAATCTAAAAAAATTCTATTTGTTAATATCTTTAAAACGTTTATATTTTAATTGTATTGTTTAAATTTCACAATAACACGAATATTACAGTTTGAATAAAGGCGGGAGTTGACGAAAATTAACGAACCAATCAAAACTGGCTGTCGCGTGACCAGACTCTTATTATAGGGTCTCTAGTGTACCACCGTTTGCAGCGCCGCCACATTCTTACAGGCCTCAGATACGAATTAAATCCGCCATCTTGTCACGAGATCACATCTTCTTAACCTTCTTAACACGCAAAAGTGGTGTATACTCAACCAATAGATTTGACAAATATCAATGCAATGAAAAATCTTTTGTCATCTTTGTTATAACTTCAAGTTGTATGGAAAGTAGTAACGAAGATAATCAAAGATTTTTCACTTACGTCATATCATCTATATTTCTTTCAAAAAGATATAAATGTACGTTTCAGATATTAATGCTAATATGTTAAGAAGCGAAGTTCTAGATCAATTGACAGAAAAGAGCAATCAGCAGGGTACGTTTGATTAATTCTTAGTTGCATTTTTGTATATCGAAAGTATACTTAATCGAATAGATTTGATAAATATCAATGCATTGAAATGTCTTTTGTTACCTTCGTTATCATTTGAAGTTTTAAAGTGTTAAGGCAGCTAAATATTTTTCGCTTACTTTATATCGTCTTCATTTTTTCAAAAAAGTGTTAATTTTTGTAATAATTTAACACGATGATAATTTGTCAAAAAATGAAGTTCTAAATAAATATATAGAGAAAAACGATCTCAGCGAAGTAAGTTTGATTCATTTTTGTATATCAATAGTATAGTGTTTAAAACAAATAGATTTGAGAAATATCACTTCAGTGAAAAGTCTTTAGTTATCTTTGTTATCGCTTCAAATGTTAATGAAAAATGTTTTATTGAATTGAAAGTAAACAAAAACGTTTTTACTTTATCTATCATGTTTATGTATCATCTTTATCTCTTTCAAAAATTTATAAATAATTATATATTTAGGCATCAATGCTACGTTACCAAAAAATATCAAAAAATAAAGTTCTAAATGTATCGGCGAAAAAAGTAATCTAAAAAGGACATATTTTAATTCATTGTATAAACTTGTTTCTTCATAAAAGTTGAGATGACTTATCTTCTATTTGGCATTCTTTTCATAAAAATATCATTTATTAGTCGTTTCATATCATGATATTTCTTTTTTCAGATGTTCAACCAAGTATTTTCGAAATCAATTTAAATAATATGCTTTTTCAAAATACGTCGCTAGATGACAAAACAACTGATAACACAAGTAACAGATATAACCTATTTAAATACTTAATTAATTGTTATATTTACGTAAGCATAATTATATATATATATTATTACTATATTAAATGATAATATTAATTTGTGCAAGTACAATTTGAAAAAAGGTTTTAAAAATTTTACCAGGAAACAATCGGTCAACAAATAAAGTCAAATAAGATCTATAGTTCATATTCAGATTGCTATCATAATTTTTAATCAGCCTATGATAATATCAATGTTTTAATTTACGAGCAAATTTATTATTATATGAATTTCTACAAATTTGAATTTTTTTATTTTTTAGATTCAACTATTTCCGGTTTTCCTAAAAACAAAGATTTTGACACAAGTTTAAATATTTTTTTAATAGACGAAATGGATACCGAAATTAGCCTAGTAGAAATAAATAATGTAAACTCAGATGGTAAAGTATGATTCAATTGTTATTTAAATCAACTAGAAGTCACGTGTCACATTTATGTGCATGTACTGTGTGGATATATTTCTCGTTAAATAATTATTATACATATAGGCCCGTATTCAGAACGCGCTTACAACGATGTTAGGGTTCTAACATGCTATAGTTTACGTTACGCATTCTATAAAATTTCAGAGATAAAAGC